GCTGTATTATTTCACCCTGCTCTTCTGTAAATTGTCGAACGGTTCTTGGCGGTAATTCGATAGGTGACCAGTGTAAAAGTAAGAAGCCTTTATCTGCTGCCAAAGCCTGCATACCTCAGATTCTGCCCTCAAAGTTCAAGCCCCGGCTGCTGCCGCCCGCTGGCAGGAGTCAGGAAGGAGCCGTCAGACACCCGAAGGCCCACAGCTGCGAGGATCTCTACACCTGCGACCTGGACTGTGATGGACCAGGGGACAGGAGCGACGGGCCACCGTCTGTGTGCGGCAGCGACGGTGCTGGAGGTCTCAGGGATGAGTCTCCTGCAGTCAGGAGGAGCGCTGTAGAGTTTTCCAGCCTGTACCGGACCATGCATCACATCCAGCGGCCCAGCTCGGTGGGCTGCAGCCCCCACGGCAGCGTCCGCAGCCTGGCCTCTCTGTTTGAGAGGACGAGGGCGGAGGGCGACAGGGCGGAGGCGGACGGTGGTGGTCACGTTCCACGAGACAACGTGCCGTCACGGGTCAGTGAATTTGAGACGATCATTCAGAGGTCGGTCTCGGCTCCAAACCGTTCTTCCTCTCTGCCCGCGCTGCACAGTCCCAGTCCAGCCCGTCCCTACATGGCGTCCGCCGTGTCCGCCGAGTCTCTGCTGGTTGCCGACAACACACAGGCTGTCGTCTGCTCCCCGGTGGGGGCAGAACACAAAGGCTCCATGGAGGAGGTGCCGGTCCTTAACCATGAGACTGTGGAGGAGGCGAGTACTGAGTCCGCCTGTACCACTGAGGCTGAAGTGGAGCAGATCTTCAGCATGAATTCCCCCGAGTTCATCCACCAAAATAAACCAAACACTTCGCCACACGTCCTTCCCCACCACCACCACCACCTCCTGCACCACTTGAACCATCAGCACCTCCTCAAACCAAACAAATGTAAAGGCTCCTGCCCAGCTTCCTACACCCGGTTTACCACCATCCTCCGGCATGAGAGGCAGCAGGAGAAGCCACCTCCATCAGAGAAGAAGACCATGCCCCCCGGGAACCTCTTCCTCATGGGTCCGGCTCCCTTCAGGTTACGGAAGAACCTGCAGTCCCAAACACGAAGGACACTGTTAGCCACCAGGGTGACCAGAGGCCCCCCACAGCCCTGCAGCTTGTCCCCAGAGCTCAGACCAGTCGTCCCCCAGCGCCTCTCCTCCCTGGAGGTCCTGGAGAAGCTGAGTAACGAGGAAGGTGTCACCACTGACCACCAGGGCGGCTTGGACGCCAACGGGAACCCGCTGGCAGCTCACCACAGAGGTTCCTATCTCCATCCCTTCACCTCTGTCACCCTCTCCCCTCTGTGGTCTTTCACCTGTCTCGACCCAGTCTCCACCTTTTTCTCCACAAGCAACACCAGCACCTTCCATTTCTAGTCTGTGTGGTGTGTTTAAGTTCTTGTTGTGCTGTTTGGTGCCCTTCCATTTCACCCTGAATGATTACAGTCCCCAAACACTCATTGAAACAGGAGGTTCAGAAACTTCTGGTGACATAAACACACACATCGGTACAGGAGATTTATATTGTTACATCTTTACAAGTAACGTGGAGGCAGTACCATTAAAGACACAAACAGTGTCTCACAGGGTTGCAGTTGTTGGAGACTTGTAGGCGAATATTTGCAACGTAGTTTTTGAAAGGCCTCAGAACGTTTGTGGAGGTTCCCAGTTTTCTCTTAAGTTAAAGAGGCTCACAGTCCTGACGCCTCATTTATGAGCATCTGTCTTTATGGGTGTCTCGGACTCGTTGTATGAGCACCTGAGCTGTATTGAGACTCCTGCACGGGATGGAAATCATCCAAGACTAGAGCCTGAATGTGGAAGTTTAAAAAGAATCAACACTGATGATAAATAATTACTGACAGACTGGTCCAAATGTGCTTGTCTGCATCACAAAGGTCTAGTGTTGCGTGAAAATCAGATTTACTGGTCTGCTGAGATGCTGTCCTCTAAATCCATGGTTCTCAAAGGTTCTCAAGTTCCACTGGTGGTATGAAGGATCCCTCTAGTGGTCCTCTGAAGTAATTTTTGTTTTTACAGGTTTAAAAAAAAAAAACAGTAAGGACTGGAAGAACGAGGAATGGAGAAGAAGTGTGCTGGTGGCCATTTTTAAGAACAAGGGTGATGTTCAGAGTTGTAGCAACTACAGGGGAATTAAGTTGATGAGTCACACGATGAAGATCTGGGAGAGAGTTGTGGAAACAAGACTTAGATGAGAGGTGACTGTGAGCAGCAGTATGATTTCATGCAAAGAAAGAGCACCACAGATGCCATCTTTGTTTTGAGGTTGTTGACGGAGAAGTACAGAGAGGGTCAGAAAGAACTCCATTGTGTCTTTGTGGATTTAGAAAAAGCATCTGGCAGAGTGCTGAGGGAGGAGGTGTGATGTTACATGAGGAAATCTGGAGTGACAGAAAAGTTTGTTAGACTGGTTCAGGACATGTATGATGACAGCAGGACATGTATGAGGACAGCAGGACAGTGGTGAGATGTGCTGTAGGAGTGACAGCTTCAAGGTGGAGGTGGGAGTGCCTCAAGGATCAGCTCTGAGCCCCTTCTTGTTTGCTCTGGTGATGAACCGACTAACAGATGAGGTCAGGCAGGAATCCTCATGGACGATGATGTTTGCAGATGACATTGTGATCTGTGGTGAGAACAGGGAACAGGTGGAAGAGAACTTGGAGAGGTGGAGGTATGCACTTGAAAGAAGAGGAATGAAAGTCAGCTGTAGTAAGACAGAGTCCATGTGTGTGAATGAGAGAGAGGAGGTGGAACAGTGAGGCTACAAGGAGCAGAGGTCACAAAGGTGCAGGACTTCAAGGACTTGGGGTCCACTGACCAGGAAAATGGGGAGTGTGGTAAAGAGGTGAAGAAGAGAGTCCAGGCAGGATGGAGTGATGGAGAAAAGTTTAAGGAGTGATTTGTGACAAAAGGGTGTCAGCAAAGGTCAAAGGAAAAGTTTACAAGACAGTTGTGAGACCAGCTATGTTGTATGGTCTGGAGACAGAGACATGGACAAAAAGACAGGGGACAGAACTGGAAGTGGCAGAAATGAAGATGTTGAGGTTCTCCTTAGGAGAGACAAGGATGGAGAAGATCAGGAATGAGATCATCAGAGGTTCAGCACAGGTTGAACAACTGGGAGATAAAGTTAGAGAGGACACACTGAGGTGGTTTGGACATGTCCAGAGGAGGGAAAGTGGTTTGGACATGTCCAGAGGAGGGACAGTGGTTTGGACATGTCCAGAGGAGGGACAGTGGTTTGGACATGTCCAGAAGAGGGACAGTAGGTATATTGGGGAGTGGTAGTACAGAGGTTAGAGAAGATGGGCCTGTGATTGGAAAGTCGCTGGTTCAACTCCCAGTACCGTCAACATCAAATGTGGGTGGAAAAGGTGAAACACCCACACCTGCCTCCACCCTCATTTGCCCCACTCTGGGCCCTTGAGCAAGGCACTTAAATCATTATCTGCCCCCAAACAGGTCTCTCTTGAAACTGAGTTCTCGTGACTCCATGAGACTACCTGTATGAATAAAGGTTGAATAAATCAAATATTGGTAGAAGGATGTTAGAAAAGAAGGAACATGAGCTGGTTGTTCTGTTCTGACTCCAACAGTCGCAGCCCGGTGAGAAACTACCGTTACTCTAAAATACCTGTCCCACACGAACAAACACAATCCTCTGATCTCACCTGAAATATGAAACAGACTTCATGCTGGATATCTGTGCTCAAGCATTTCTCCAGTCAGTTTGTTTTGCTTCAGCTTTAGTTCTCAAACCAAGAGGAAGTTCAGGAGCTACAAAGGGAAAGTGATGACGTAACTGACCCTGAGTGCTGATTGGTTAGGACTTCCATGGTGTCACGTTGAGTTCTTATTTTGTTCTTTATTTTGTTTTTCCAACCAGTGGATTGGATGTTTTCAATCCTTTCTTTTGAACATGAACTCATGTTTGGACATATTTTCCATTCCTCTGTGCATGCAGGTTTGAATTCAGCTTTTTTTTAAATTGTGTTTTGTCTTGGTTGTGTTTAAAGTTATGATGTTCATTTTAAGCATGCATGATTGTATTTATATCTATGAAAGTTGTCAGGTCCTCTGGATGATTCTTCTTTATTGAAACGTTTCGTCTTTTATCCAGATGACTTCTTCAGTCTGAGGAGCTGCAACAAACTCAGTCTAATAAATAGCACCTTCTCATAGTGGATCTACCAGTTTGTTGTTGACATCCAGAACTAGCTGTTCATGATGGAGGACCATCAGCCTAACAACTGATCGTTAGTGCCCTGATGGCCACTTGCTATTCACAGAGTGATACTAGCAATAACAGCATTGTAAGAGGGGACAGTTGGACATGGAGGCTCCGCCCCGTTTAATGATGGATGGCTTATTTTCACAAAGAGGGCCTCCTTTACTCCTCTCTCAAACCATCATTCCTCTCTGCACATCCTTGATAGAGTGGAACGTTGGTGATGAAGCCATCTTTGTGGAAAAAAAACGTCCATCATTAAACAGGGGCGGAGCCTCCATGTCCAACTGTCCCCCTCTTACAATGCTGTGATTAGCATCACTCAGCCCTCTGTGAATAACAAGTGGCCACCATGGCACTAACGATCCATCGTTAGGCTGATGGTCCTTCAGCATGTGAGCAGCTGGTTCTGGATGTCAACAACAAGCTGGTTGATCCACTCTGAGAAGGTGATATTTATTAGACTGAGTTTGTTGCAGCTCCTCAGACTGATGAAGTCCTTTGGATAAAAGAAGAAACGTTTAAGTAAAGAAGAATCCGTCCAGAGGACCTGACTCCACCTGGTTAGATTAATCTACCTGGATTATTGAGCATGCATCAGGACGTTGTATTTGTAGTTTTTTTATTTGTTTATGATTGGACAGCAGTGACAACATGCATTTTGTATTTACTCCATTTTTAATTAGCTTGCATGGTGATAACGTCTCTGTTTCTGTCAGACTCCTCCCCGGCTCACGAGGAAAGTCAGGATGAAGTTCTGAGGAGGCGTCATGGAGACAAAGAGGTCATTACATAAAAAATTACCTGAATACACTTTAATAAAGAACGTTAGGAAAAGCACAGACTGTATTCAACCGATAAACCGACGAGGGCTGTTCATATCTGGAGGGAACAGAGTTTTTTCTGGTTTCCTGACAGAAAATCTTGGAGGAGCAGCGGCGCCTGAAGCGGGAACAGGAAGAGGCCGACACGGCGTCGAGGCGACACACGAGCGTCGTCCCGACGCATCACCAGTTCATCACCAACGAGCGCTTCGGAGACCTGCTGAACATCACCGACAACACGGAGAGAAGGAAGTCAGGCGTCGAGGTAAAACAGCCGAAACAACGGGTGGATGAGGAAAACTGTGGTCGATAATATCTTACCTGTTGTAGATGGCTCGTTGAACGACCTCAGTTTGGAGAAATAAAGTTTAATTTGACTCGTCCGAACGCAGCGAAGACTAAAGTGGATCACAGACGTCTTCACACTCGAGCTGTCGCAACGATTGACGTTGGAATTAATAAAGTTTTTACTTTGTTGTCCGTTTTGTAAAACACGGCACGTCTCCAGTCCATCACAGGGACACCTGACATGTCTCCAGTCCATTAGAGGGACACCTGAACAGGTCTCCAGTCCATTAGAGGGACACATGGAGACAATGAGACAATCTCTCCCACACGTATGGACAATAAAGAGTGTCCAGTCAGCCTAACGTGCATGTTTCTGGTCTGTGGGAGGAAACCAGAGTACCCAGAAGCTGCACCAGAAGTGCCACAGCCAGCTGCTGCTGCTGTTTGCGCTCACGAATGACCTCAGAGTTCCACATAAAAACCACGACTTAAAGGTTCATAAATATTTGTTGTTTCGTTAGTTCACCACTTCAGTCTGAGCTGCGTTCAGACTAGCCTTTAGCTCATCAGTCCGGCCAGAATTAAAAAAACACATTTCGTTTGATTTCTCCAAATAAAGTTTGTTCAAAGAGCTATCTACTACAGGTAAGATATTATTTGTTCAGAACCTTGTTTCAAAATGGCTGAACCCTTAAAGTTTCAATTAACTCTATCAGCTAAAAAAGTGTTTTATTCAGTTTGTTTATTTTTTTCCTGAAACTCAGAAACGACAGAATCCTTAAAGATAAACGGACTAAATGTAGAAAAGCAGAACTTCTGATTTTAGTCTCGAAGTATAAAAATATTCGTTTTGTTTTGTCTTCACAGAGAACTCCGGCCATGGCCCGCTTCGACTTCAGAGCAGAATCCCTGAAGTGAGTGGAGACGATTTAATTAATTAATTTAATGTTTTAACTGATGAAGATTGAAAAAGTTTATAAACAAACACATTTCAGCTGTTTCTCTCTGTAAACAAACACATTTCAGCTGTTTCTTTCTGTAAACAAACACATTTCAGCTGTTTCTGTATATAAACAAACACATTTTGGCTGTTTCTGTATATAAACAAACACATGTCAGCTGTTTCTATATATAAACAAACACATGTCAGCTGTTTCTGTATATAAACAAACACACTTCAGCTGTTTCTCTCTGTAAACAAACACATTTCAGTTGTTTCTGTATATAAACAAACACATTTCAGCTGTTTCTCTCTGTAAACAAACACATTTTGGCTGTTTCTGTATATAAACAAGCACATTTCA